ACCAGGGCCATGCCACAGCTGTTTTTTCAGAAACTCTGTGGGAAAACTAAGTTCTGCCCCATGATGGTTTTAGAACTGATGCGTTTACAAAAGATAGCTAGAATTTCTCAAGGGCCATCAAGGTACATGAACTTAATATTTTCCATGGTTACATAAATCACAGATTCTCTGCATGCTTGCTTCTCGCTCTCAAATGGTCAACAGAAAATAGCCACAAAAGACCGACACATGTGGTACACAGACATCTATGCAGACAAAACATATGTACATACATGAATATATACATATGCAAACAGAAAATAGCTTGACAAGGCCCAATGTACAAGCAGTATAATAACTCAAATAGTTCAACAACAGCAGTTCAGAACTACAGAAGACAAAGCCTTGGAGACAATTCTCAAGAGCCCAATACCACAGCACTCGGGAGGCAGAGGCAGATGAATCTCCGTGAGTTTGAGGCCAGCCTGGTCTACAGAGCAAGTTCCAGGACAGTCTCCAAAGAGAGGAACCCTGCCCCCCCCCACAAAAAAAAAACAATCAGTCAATAAATAAAAGAGCCCAATCCCAAGTACAGCCCATGTTTGTGCTTCGCCAAATAGAGGTAGAACAGCAGCAGCAGATGGAAGCTGAAGTGGAAAGATGAAAGTCCCTAGCTACCTATGGTGGACATGCCTTTAGGGGGCAGAGGCAGGCGGATCAATGAGTTTTGAAGTGTTCCTGGTCTTTATAGTGTCAACAGCCAGAGCTTTGTAGAGAGGTTCTGTCTTGAAAGAAAGTCCCTGGAATAACGTGACCCTAGCAGCTGCTTGGTACTATTTAGCCCTCCTCTCCATTGGGAGTGAATGACTGACTGTTTTCTCCTGGCCATGGTTTGCCAGAATTGTTACCATACGTGTTAGGGTCAGAGCTACGGCCTGTCATCCCTGACAAGCTAGGTGTGGCCACCTATCCTCAAATATGTCAGTTAAATCCACTGTTAGTAATGAAACAAAAGAATTTATTCAGTGTGGCCACACTGGAAAGAGATTGAGTGACACCCACCTATCTGTTTTGGGGTTCTAATATAAAAAACATAGATGAGGGGGCCAGAGAGGTGGCTCAGAGGTTAAGAGCACTGACTGCTTTTCCAGAGGTCCTGAGTTCAATTCCCAGCAACCACATAGTGGCTCAATCATCTGTGATGAGGTATCGTGCCCTCTTCTGGCATGCAGGTGTGCATGTAGGTAGATACTGTATACATAATAAATAAAAAAAATAGATGAATTTCAGGTCGATAGAAGGTGTGATGCATAACTGATTATTAGTGGTCAAGGTGTAGCCCAACAGCTGTCATTGGCTCCTGTTTCCTGCAAGGTAATCTGACAAGTTGTCAGAACTGAGATCTTTCTGGGGTGACAACTTTCTCAGCCTGGCACCTGGGCTCAGCCTCTTCCTTCTCCCAAAATGAGCTTCCTGGGAAAGTTGAGTGAAGTCTGTTGTCTCAGTAGTCTGACAGCAGAGGAGGGACACTCACCCTTTTATGCTGTCTTCATCCTGTGAGGAGAGTTACACAGGAGTTGCAGGCATGAGCCAGCAGGCCTGGCCACACCTAGCTTTTTACTAGCTTTTCCAGCTGATGGTAGGTATTCTTTGATGCTGCACCAACACTTGGCAGGTGGTAAATTTTTTTTTCTTTTTTTGTGGTCCATACAGCATCATGCATGCTAGACCGGCACTCTGCCATTGTATTACATAGCTCACAAGATACGTGGTAATTTCTTAAAAGTTAGTTGCAAGGTTGATAATTTAGCTCAGTAATACCCTGCCTGGGTTTCATCCTCTGCACCAGAAAATAAAAAATAATTGAATTGTAAGGGCTGAAGAGATGACTCAGCAGTTAAGAGTATTGGGTGGTCTTCTCAAGGACCTAGGTTCAATTCCCAGCACCCACATGGCAGCTCACAACTTCCTGTAACTTCACTTCCAGGGGATCTGATGCCCTTTTCTCACCTTCAGAGGGCATTGCATGCAGGTGGTGCACAGACATACATGTAGGCAAAAATAATCATACACAGAAATGATTTTAAAAATAATAAAATTAGGGGGCTGGAGAGATGGCTCAGTGGTTAAGAGCCTCCAAGAAACCAGGATTACTGTGATTAAAGGCCTTTGCCACAAGGTCCTACTTTGAATTTTTTTTGTTGTTTTTTTTTTGTGGTTTTGGAGCCTGTCCTGGAACTAGCTCTTGTAGCCCAGGCTGGTCTCGAACTCACAGAGATCCGCCTGCCTCTGCCTCCCGAGTGCTGGGATTAAAGGCGTGTGCCACCACTGCCCGGTTTTAATTTTTTGAGGGGCTGGTTCATGAGTACTTCGTGGTGTGTGTGTGGAGGTCAGAGGACAACTTTCTGGAGTTTCTTCTCTCCTTTTATCATGTGGATCCTAGGGTCAAACTCAGGCTGTCAGACTGGAGAGGTGGATCATAGGTGACACCTATGTGGTGGAAGAGAGAACCAGCTCAGCAAGCTGTTTTCTCTGTGTGTGTGTGTGTGTGTGTGTGTGAGAGAGAGAGAGAGAGAGAGAGAGAGAGAGAGAGAGACAGAGACAGAGACAGAGACAGACAGAGACAGAGACACAGGCAGACAGAGAAAGGAAGGGATGGGGAAAGAGGAAGAGAGAGAGAATGAAAAAATAAATCGAGACTGACCCTCATATAGCCCAGGCCTGTCTAGAACTCACTGTATAGTTGAAGCTTGGTGCTTCTCATCCGCCTGCCTCCACTCCTAGGCAGTAGTGTTACAGGTATGCACCTTCTTTCAGGGCAAGGACTTTCTAAAACAGGACCTGCTTTTCCCCCTCAAGAGCATGTGGCAGTGAATACAGTAAGCTTATTTCACGGTTTGGTTTGGGCAAAGGCAATAGCAATTATACCCACCATGGTATTTTCACTATTATTGTAAATGCTAAGATGCTTTAAAAAAAAAAAAAAGTCAAATCATGCCTTAGTAGTATGGCAAAAATAGTTTGCACCACATGGATTCCTGAAAGGTTACTAGTATGGCTCAGGAGCCATAAATCACACTTTTGAACTGCTGTCCTAAGCAAACCACTGGTCAATGGGAGTTTATTCTTGCCATGCTGGCCTTGGTATCACTTGCCCATAATCTCAGTCCCTGGGAAGTGAAGACAGGACCAGGAGTTGAAGGTCATCCTCAGCTATGTAGTAAATTAAAAGTCAGCTTGGGCTACAGAGTTTCTGTCAAAAACAAAAAATCCAGTTTGCTGTCTGTAACGATTGATCAGCATTGCATTATTTTGCCATACCTAGAAAACAAAAAAAATTAACAGTTGCAATTCATTTTAGAAAAGATGCTCCTTGCTGGGTGGTGGCGGCACACCCCTTTAATCCCAGCACTGGGGGGCAGAGGCCAGCTTGGTCTACAGGACTAGTTCCAGGACACAGAGAAACCCTGTCTCGAAAAACTTAAGGAAGGGAGGGAGGGAGGGAGGGAGGGAGGGAGGGAGGAAGGAAAGAAAGAAAGAAAGAAAGAAAGAAAGAAAGAAAGAAAGAAAGAAAGAAAGAAAGAAGGAAAGATGCTTTTTAGTAGAGAAGATGAAAGCTCCCAAGAGTGGGAGTGGTTCTCCAAAAGGACTGCTTCCACATGCCCTGCCCAGTGTTTTATTGCTGCTTGTGTATGACGTGGGGTGCGCTCCACTGTGTGCATACAGATGATGACTTAGAGTCAGAGTCAGTTCTTGCCTTCTACCCAGAGTTCTGGGGAATGGGACTCAGGTCATCTGGCTTTTGTAAAAAGCACTTTGGCCTGTTGACCCATCTCACAAACCCTGCCTAGTAGCCTTTTATGTATTACAGAGGAATTGGATTGAGACCGAGGGAGTCATTATTGAAATTGGTCCGTTTTTGACCTCATCAAAGGCTAAGCCAATGAGGAGTCTACACACCCTGTCCTGTTCTCTTGGCCCAGAGAAATGACAGTGCCTTACTCATCCAGTCTGGTCATGTGCTGCAGGATTAGCTCATGGTCCACCAAGGCCCTGCCTTAAGGGTGATTAACTCAAACTTTCTGTCAAGCAGTATTTAAAAGATAGCTATCCTTGTGCCTTGCCTAGAAATTAGAATGCTGTTGACAGATTTCTGTCTCACCCAGTCCCACAGTTGTTCAGACCTAAAGAAACACACAGAGGCCTACATTAATTATAAACGGTTGGCCTATTAGCTCAGGCTTCTTATTAACTAATTCTTACATTTTAATTAGCTCATTATTCTTGTCTATGTTAGCCAAGGCTTAGTACATTTATCAGCGAGGCATTCTCATCTTGCTTCCTCTGTGTCTGGATGATAACTGCAGACTGAGTCTTTCCTCTTCCCAGAATTCTCCTGTTCTCATCACCCCACCTCTACTTCCTGCCTTGTCACCCAGACTTTAAAATAAGTCAAAAGATATGTAGAGGAAGCAAGATAGGCCTCTGTGTGTTTGTTTGGGACTGAATGGCTGCAGGACCTGGCAGGACAGAAACCTCTGTCAACAGAATGCATGTTTTTGAACTATGTTCTTTAAAATTATATTCCACCACTGGGTCTGGTGATAAAACCCAGTAATCCCATCTACTTGGGAAGTTGAGACACTAAGATCACAAATTCAAGGCCTACCTGAGCTGTGGCCTAAGTTTCACGTCAGCTAGATCCTCTCTCAGAACACAGAAAGGGAAACAGCAGGTGTGGTGACTCCAGGCTGTAATCCTAGCACTTGGGAGGTGGGGTCGGAAAGAGCAAATTTGAGGTCAGGTAGGCTACGTGAGCTCCTGGCCCCCAAATGAAAACATCTTGTGCACACATTTCACTATGGTGGTACATGTCTATAGCTTAGCATTTGGGAGATAGAAGAAGGGAGATTTTGAGTCCCATGCTTTCATGGGCTTGGCAAAACCATGTCTTAGAGAATACCAACAAAATGCAAGAAAACGTTTTACAGGCTGCTGCTTCCCCTGTGTTTGAATTGCAGCTCCCTGGATACTTTTGTTCCTATGCATAAAGATGTCTCTGGTGGATTTGGGGAAGAGGCTGCTGGAAGCTGCAAGAAAAGGCCAAGATGATGAAGTGAGAACGCTGATGGCAAATGGGGCCCCGTTCACCACAGACTGGGTGAGTTGAGCTCAAGAGGTGTGGTGCTTCCCTCTTGTGCTATGTCATTCCTGCCTCCTGCAGGAGTGTTATGTGTGTTGCCTGACTGCAGTTCTCCTCCAGTGTGAAAGCTGCCTGTCAATAGGTAGTAGTAATTGTGAGCTGTTAAATTGTGGGAATTTGGATGGAGAGATCAGAGGTTAAGAGCGCTGACTGGACCTCTGGAAGAGGTCCTGAGTTCAATTACCAGCAACCACAGTGGCTCACAACCATCTGTAATGAGATCTGGTGCCCTCTTCTGGCCTACATACAACTAGAACCCTGAATACATAATAAATAAATCAATCTTTAAAAAAATACTGGGAATGTCTCTCTTTTATTTTTATATTTTTATTTGCAGTTGTGATGGTATATGTCTTTAGTCCTAGAACTTTTGGGGAGAGGTAGGAAGACCTCTGAGTTTGAGACCATCCTGGTCTACATCACAAGCTCCAAGATAGCCAAAGCTACATAATGAAATCCTCTCTCAAAAAACAAATATAAAGCTCCCAAAAGTTGTCCTGACCTCACACATATACACCTGTGTGTGCTGTGCACACATGTACACATACGTGCAAATAAATGTTACAAATACCAGGCATGGTTGTATATATCTTTTTGTTTGTTTTTGTGACAATATTGACTGTCCTGAAACTCGTTTCATAGTAGACCAGGCTGGCCTCAAACTCACAGAGATCCGACTGCCTCTGCCTCCTGAATGCTTGGATTAAAGGCATGCCAACTAGTAGTATACATCTTTAACTCCAGCAGTTGGGAGGCAGAAGCAGAAGATTAACCATGAATTGAAGGTCAGCCTGGTTTATGTAGTAAGACTTTGTCTCAGGGGAGAAAGAAAGGCCAGGTGGTAGTGGTGGTGCATACCTTTAATCCCAGCACTCAGTATATAGAGATAGGTAGATTTCTGAGTTTGAGGCCTACCTGGTCTACAGAGTGAGTTCCAGGACAGCCTGGGCTACATACAAAACCTTGTCTTAAAAAAAAAAAAAAAAAAAAAGAAAAAAGAAAGAAGAAAAGAAAGAATAGTTTAATATAGTGAGCTTGTCCAACTCAACTTGGAGACCAAAGAGTTTCAGAAGATTCAGGTCCATGGAGTAATGGAGGGCATCTAAACACATTGGTTTTGCTTTTTAAGATTTATTTACAGATGGTTGTGAGCCACCATGTGGTTGCTGGGAATTGAACTTTGGAAGAACAGCCAGTGCTCTTAACTGCTAATCTCTTCAACCCGCGTTCACAGATTTTCTTTCTTCCCTTTTTTTTCCCCTTTGGGTTGTTTTTGTTTTTTGAGACAGGGTTTCTCTGTGTAACAGTCCAGGCTGTCCTGGAACTCACTTTGTAGACCAGGCTGGCCTTAAACTCACAGAGATCCGCCTGCCTCTGCCTCCCAAGTGCTGGGATTAAAGGCGTGTGCCACCACTACCTGGTGGTTCATGAATTTTCTAAGCACTGACTGATGCTAACAATTTTTATGATGGAGTAATGATTGTTGTAGTATGATTAGTTCATAACTTCAGGGTCCAACTGGTTCTTTTTGTTTGTTTGTTTGTTTGTTTTGAGACAGTCTCTCTCAATGAAACCCTGGCTTCTTGGGCTTCTATCTCACAGAGATCCACCCGCTTCTGCCTCCTTAATGCTGGGACTAAGGGTGTAACCACCACCCAGATTACTCTTCTTGACACAAAAAAACTGTCTTGTAAGCCATGCTTAAAATCTACCTAACTCAAAATCATTATACTTTAATTTTATGATTTCTATTGTTTTTAATTATATGTGTGTGTCTTTGTGGGGTGGGCATGTGAGTACAGTTATCCTTGGAAACCAGGGTGTCGGGTCACCTACAGCTGGAATAATAGCTGTGAATCACCTAACATGGGTGCTGGGAACTGAACTCAGTGCTTTTAACCATTGAGTTATCTTTCTAGCCCATGTATATTAATTTTTAATTCTATTATTTATTCAGTCTTATCTGCCCTATAAGATTTTTTTCTTCAAGGATGAATACTATAGGATTCATTTATTGTTCATGTATCTCTACCCCAAAATGATACAGTTCTACACACGGTAGAATTCAATGAGTATTACTTTCCCACAGCTTGGAACATCACCTCTTCACCTTGCAGCCCAGTACGGCCATTATTCCACAGCAGAGGTGCTCCTTCGAGCAGGCGTGAGCAGGGATGCCCGGACCAAGGTGGACAGGACCCCTCTGCATATGGCTGCAGCTGATGGCCATGCACACATCGTGGAGCTGCTGGTTAGGGTAAAGCAAGAATGGTGGTGGGGTGATGCTTTGAAACACTCACCTCCCGCACTGTCTTTTAAATAGTGGGGGAATTGGGCGGGAAAGACTTGAGAATAGTTGGCCATTAAGTTGTATCTCTTTATTTATTTATTTAAATTGATTTTTTTTCATGAAAACCATGTTTCAAGAGTCATGAAGATGAGTTTGTTTTCTAATTTTTTAAAGACTTAACAGGTTTTATTGATTTTCCTCATTCTTTTCTGTAGGTGTTCTCTGTACTTGTGCCTGTTTTTTTTTCAAGCCCTACTCAGCTTTCTGCTAATAAATGCAACAAAGTCTGTTCCTTGCCCCTCCTCAGCCATCTGTTAGAGTTTCCCGGGGCTGTCCTTAGCAGACCCACTCGTTGGAAGCATAATGTCTCAGCTCAGGCGGACTTGAGAAATGTTTTTCTCGTTGATCCTCCTTAAGTGAGAGCTACAGCTAAATCTCTCTGTTGCGATGGGGTCTTACACCTGAGCCCTGTAACCATTATCACAGAAAGGTCGCCTTTTTCTAACAGAGCGGTGCGGATGTGAATGCCAAGGACATGCTGAAGATGACCGCTTTACACTGGGCCACAGAGCACCACCATCGAGATGTTGTTGAGTTACTTATCAAATATGGAGCTGATGTCCATGCTTTTAGCAAATTTGACAAGTCTGCCTTTGACATCGCACTGGAGAAAAACAATCCTGAGATTCTGGTCATCCTTCAGGTATGGTTCCTAGATTGTCCCCAAAGTACGCTTCAGCTTATAGACTATTTTGAGAGAGCTGAATTTTCCCCATTTTATCAAAATAGCACTTCTATCATGCTTCAATCATATGACTCTGTGTTAGCATCTCTCTCTCTCTTTCACACATAGACACAGACACACACCACACACACACACACTCACACACACCCAGTGGAGACAGGGTCTCAAGTAGCCCAGGGTGATCTCAGATTTTGAATGTAGCTAAAGATGACTCTTGATCCTCCTGTTTCTGCCTCACATATGCTAGAATTACAGGCTGTATACTGTGCTTGGCCTTTGTTTTGAGACAGTCTCACTGTGAAGTCAGAGCTAGCCTCTCCAACCAGGCCTTCCCTTAGGTTTTTTTTTTGTTTGTTTTTTTGTTTTTTTAATAGGATTATAGAAAGTCCTGAATTGTTTGTGGTAATTAGAGAGCAATATTTCGGGACTACTCAGTGCTGACATTGTAGAGCAGAACTCTACAGATCTTTTCTGGTTCTGAGAGTTGCCCAATTTATGGAAATGTAGCCAGAACAAAAAAGAACATTTATTTGACTGTCCATTGCTTTTCTCTCCATTAAAGTTTCCATTTCTAGTTAAACTAGACTTGACAGTCTTAAAAGTCACAGGCTAGGCACAGTGGCACATCCCTTTGATCCTAGCATTTAGTAGGGAGAGACAGGTAAATCTCTTGAGTTTGAGTTCAAGGCCACCTTGGTCTACAAAGCGAGTTCCAGTCCAACCAGGGTTATACAGTGAGACCCTGTCTCAAGACAAGAAAGAAAAAGGTTTGTTGCTGCTGGAGATACGGCTCTGTAATCAGAAATACTTACCAGTGGGCGATAGTGGTGCACACCTTTAGTTCCAGCACCTGGCGGCAGAGGCAGGTGGAGCTCTGTGAGTTTGAGGCCAGCCTGGTCTACAAAGGGAGTTCTGGGACCACTGGAGCTATTACACATCAAAAGCCTGTTTCAAAAAAACCAAAAATAGGGCTGGAGAGATGGCTCAGAGGTTAAGAGCATTGCTTGCTCTTCCAAAGGTCTTGAGTTCAATTCCCAACAACCACATGGTGGCTCACAACCATCTGTAATGAGATCTGGTGCCCTCTTCTGGCCTGCAGGCATAAACACAGACAGAATATTGTATACATAATAAATAAATAAATTAAAAAAAAAACCAAACCAAAAATAAAGAAATAACACAATACTTACCAGTCTTGAAAAGGACCTAGATTCAGTTCCCAGAACCCACATAGGGTAAATTACAACTGCCTAAATTTCAGTTCCAAGGGATCCTATTTCCTCCTCTGCCCTCCATTGGCACCTGTGCACACATGGTACACATAAACTCATACAGGCACGCGCGCGAAAAAACACACACACACATTAAAAAGAAAATCATTTTAATAAGAAAGAAAGTCGCTCTCGGGGCTGGTAGATAGCTTAGTCAGAAGGTGTGTCTTGTAAACATGAGAAACTGAGTTTGATCCCCAGAACCCAAGCACAAAAGCCAGGAATGGGCCGGTGAGGCGACTCAGTGGGTAAAGGCTCTTGCTGCCAATTCTAACAGCTTGAGTTCAATTTCCAGTACCCCTCTTTAAGAAGAAAATTAACTCCTGCAAGTGTCCGCTGACCTCCTATCATAAGACACACTTCTGGGGAGACAGAACACATGCTGCCTACTTACTCCAGAAGGGGAGTCATGGCAGATCAAAGTAGTGATATGTACACCAGATTCAGTTTGGTGAAGCAATGAATTTGTATTGTGGGTATTAACGGAAGAGTGGATGAGGGCATCTTATAAGGAGCAGGGATTTAACAGAAAAGCAGCTCTGTCACCAGGACACCCGCCCCAGCATGGACATCTGCAGCCCTGGAGCACTCTAGCCGGCTACAGGCAGTTCCACTTCCTAACATGTGCAGTCGGCCGGCCAGAGTCTCTCCCCACAACTGTTCACACACTGATGCAGGGGCCCTCGGGAATCCTCCAATCCTCTGTTCTCTGCTGTGTGGCTTTTCACTGGTCGCCTCTCCTTTCTCTCTGGAGCGGATGTTCCAATTTAGAGGGGATGTTGCAAATTAGAGGAATTCATGCCTTAGCATTTATGTGTGTGTGTGCCCTGGCACACTAGTGCACATATGTACACACACGACAAATAAATTGTAATTAAAAAATGTGGAAAACGGCTGCAGAAACAATGTGCTTATAATCTCAAAGTTGGGGGAGCAGAGACAGATCTCCAGAGCTTGCTGGGCAACCAGCGTTGTTTACTTGATGAGCTCCAGACCAATAAGAGCCTACCTCAGAAAAACAAGGCAGCTAGCTTCTGAGAAACAATACTCAGGGTTGTCCGCAGGCTGCACCCTCCCGCACAAACACCTCACACAGTCGCTCTCCAGTCAAGGTGGCAATGCTTATCTAATCCCACCGTTGTGAATTACATGGAGGTAGAAGGCATAGAAGCTCAAATGGCAGCTTCAGCTACATAGCAAATTTAAGTCCCACCTGGGCTACTTGAGACCCTGTCTCAGAAAAACAAAATCCAAATAAAAAACCAGCAGTCCTGTGCCTGTGGCATGTTTGTACGATGCCTTAGTGTCTCTCCTCATACCCACACAAGGGAAGCGAATGCCCAGACCTGAAAGGCAGAGACCCCACCTCTCTACTGCCACACCCTTCACCTGTTCCCCACAAAGGCAGATCCTGAAACCATCAAAAATTAAATTAAAAGAAAACAAAAAATTAAATTTAGGGGATGACTTAGTGGGTAAGGGCTTTTGCTGCCAAGCCTGACAACCTGCGTTCAAGTCCCTGGAACCCACGTGCTGGAAAGTGAAACCCAGCTCCTGACAGTTGTTCCCAAACAGAGCTACACAGTTTTTTTGGTGAGAGAGGGGTGTTTCAAAACAGGGTTTCTTTGTGTAGATAAGACTGGCCTGCCTCTGCCTCCTGAGTCCTGGGATTAAAGGTGTGTGCCATCACCATGTGGCTTACACAGAGAGTCTTAAAAAATAAGTAAATAAATTTAAGTGTGGAAAAAAATTTAATTGAGTCAGTAAAATGGCTCAGGTAGAGGCACCTGCCAAGTCTGATGACCCAAATTTGATTCTCTGACCCCACATGGTGCAAGGTGTCCATTGTTTTCTGGCCTCTGCGTGCATATGCCCATCCCCCCATACGCACACAATAATAGAATTCATTTCTCAGGGAAAAAAAGATTCTGTGCTAGAGAGGCATAAACGGAAAACAGATGTGAGATGACATGGAGGGGCTGGAGAACAAGTGCGGTTCTGCAGTTTGGGGAGGCGGGCAGGCGCTGGGGCTCTTGTTCCAGGGCTGTGAAGTAGCTTCTTATGTGGGCACTGGGAACATAGTAAAAGCTTTTTTGTTGTTGTTGTTTTATTATGTGTGTTTTTAAAACTGGGTTTTCCTGGAACTGGCTTTGTAGACCCAGCTGTCCTTAAAATTACAGAGAGCCACCTGCCTCTGCCTTCTGAGTGCTGGGGTTAAAGCTGTACCACCACCCAAGGCTGGAAGCTTTGTTTGTTTGTTTTGTTTTGTTTTGAATGGGGGTTGAAAGATGACCTTGGCCACACGGCTCTGCTTCACCTGGTAATTGCTATCTAGCTCGAGCTGACCTCAAACTCAACATGATCCTGTCTCAGCTTTTGGAGTGCTGCTGGGATTACAGTTTGAACTGCTTCATATGGATTTAGAAACTCAGATTCAGGACTTGTTGAAATATGGAGCGGCGGCGGGGCTGCTTCCCCAACACCCCAGCCGCCTGCTAGCTCATGCCCAAAATAACAACACACAAACTATATTCATTTAAGAACTGCTTGGCCCATGAACTCTAGCCCTTACAGGCTAATTCTCGCACCTGGACTAGCCCATTTCTAATGATGTGTGTAAGCACCCCAAGGTGCGCTTACCGGGAAGATTCTAGCCTCCGTCCATGTTGTCCGTGAGCAGAGCAGAGTCTGACCTCACTTCCTCTTCTGCCCAGAATTCTATTCTGTTTACTCCTCCCATCTATGTTCTAACCTATCAGGGCCAGCCAAGCAGTTTCTTTTATTGCTCAGCCAATGAAATCAACAGATTGATATATGACACTCCCACATCAAGGACTGATGTGATTGTTTTAAAACGGTAATTGGAGTTGGCACACACATTGGATGGAGAAGACAATGCTAACTAGCATATGATTGCTTCCTTCAGGCTAGACCAGCCTACCCGTGCTTCCTCTGGGAAGCTGGTAGAAGGTAGAAGTAGCTGATGAAGAAAGAGTTTAACAGTATCCGGAGAATGGATAATCTGTCTCAATTGCAGTCCTCAGTCAAGGGGATAATTACATACGAAAAATAGCTGCTTGTGCATCTTCAGTTTTTGTTTGTTTTCATGACAGATCGTTTTACAAAGACTGGTTATTCTCCTTAACTTTCAGTTATTGTCCAAAGTCCTTTCATAACTGTACTTTTTAGTAGTTATGTTTGTAGAAAACTTCTGAGAGTAAGAATACAAGATAAGGGCCGGGCGGTGGTGGCGCACGCCTTTAATCCCAGCACTCGGGAGGCAGAAGCAGGCGGATCTCTGTGAGTTCGAGACCAGCCTGGTCTACAAGAGCTAGTTCCAGGACAGGCTCCAAAACCACAGAGAAACCCTGTCTCGAAAAACCAAAAAAAAAAAAAAAAAAAAATACAAGATAAGCATCTTTTCACCAAATTGAGCAGACATCCTCGGAAGCAAGGGTGTAGCATATGGAACTAGAGACTTCAAAACCTGCTACTCATTTATCTGCTTGTTATATGTTCTCTGAGGAGTTTCTTCAGTGGCAGAATGGAACAGGTTGTGGGATAAACTCTAGAGAATATTGTTCTCTGCAGGGATCTCCTACTAGCACCTTGTCTTGTAGATAACTGGTCACAGAATATAGGTGCTGCAAAATGCCTTTTAGACTGTCCAGACCAGTTTCTTCCCTTCTTTTTTATTTTCTTTTTACACGTTTGAGGTTAAGTGGAGCATGTGAAAGCTTTGTGAATAGTGCAGCCTTGCTTTCTCAAACAGAAGCAAGCCTGGGAAAGCCAGCTGCTTCAGTAGAGAAAAAGGTCGTAGCTCCCTGCCATCGTATGCAGGCTAGTTCTGCCTGCTGGAGCACTGGTAGGGAGGGCCGTTCAGCGACTGTATGACTGAAGTTCTGACTTTGCCATATCCTCGTTTGTTTGGTAGGAAGCAATGCAGAATCAGGTGAGCGTCAACCCCGAGAGAGCCAACCCAGTGAGCAACCCTGTGACTGTGGCTGCTCCATTCATCTTCACCTCTGGAGAGGTCGTTAACCTCGCTAGCTTTGTCTCTTCAGCCAACACCAAAGCACCCGCAGGTAATGCTCAGATAATGAGACATCTATTTTAAGCATAAAAATGAGCAGAATCCCATTTTCCTATGGATAGTCTAATTATCACTATTATAAAAATTCCCTAAATGATGCTGGGATTAAAGATCTGAGGTAGAAAACTTGCTGTGTATCTAAAGCCATGGACTAAATCTCCAGTACCACAAAAAAGAAAAGGAAAAACGTTTCCTAAATGGTTGTTTTTCAGTGTAGACATTGAACGTGGGGCCTCACACTCTGGATCTGTGTTCACAGCCCATTCTTTTTCTACTTCTGTTTGTTGTTTGTTTGGTTTATTTTATTATCAAACAGACAAACAGGGGGCTGGAGAGAAGAGTCAGCAGTTAAGAGGGTTTACTCCTTTGGCAAAGACCTGGGTTCTCTTCTCAGCACCCATATCAGAAGGCTCATAACTGCCTGTTGTAACTTCAGTTCCAGGGGATCCAATTCCCTCTGGCCTTTGGGGATACCTACACACATGTGATGCACATAAACTCATTCAGGTACATACATATATACAGAAGTAATTTTTTAAAACCTAGCACATTAAAAGTTTTTGATTGCTAGTGACTTGATAGCCCTGTATGTTCCAGCCTCCATGAAGGAAGCAGATGGTGACCACTGCTGCACCGTAGTGTGCTGCTTAGCAAGCACACAGCCCTGGGTTCCGTATCCAGTATGACACCAACACAATTTATCTAAAACTTGCTTAGTCATTGGCTTATTTGGGGAGGATTTGTGAGTTCTTACATTAGCCTTGCTGTGACAGGCTAAAAGATAAGAAAAACAGGGACCCAACAGAATATTCAGGATTAACAGGCAGCTGAGTCTGCAGTGCCAGCACTTGAAAGGCTAAGGCAAGAGGATATGGATGACACAGTAAGATCCTGGCTCTTCCTCCCACCCTCACCCCGCGCACACACACACACAAAGGAGGCCAGCATAGCCTAATCAGGGAACCCCAGGTTCATGATTTCAAGAGAGACCATGTTTCAGGAGAACAAATTGGCCACTTCCTGGGGAACAGCATCTGAGGCCGACCCCTGCCCTCTGCATGAACGTACGTACACTCCATACAAAAGAAGTATACCAACAGGCTGAAGCCTGCACTCTAGGGACTGCCCAGCCCACTGCCCTCTTGCAGTATGTTAAACAAATTATTCTGCCTCAAAAAATGTAATTATATGTAAAGAAATATGTATGTGTGTGCATCTGTGTATATGTCAATTTTTAAGGCAGTCTTACTTAGCTTGGGCTAGCCTGGAACTTCGATCTTCCACCCTCTACCTCCTTAGTGTGTCCCTCCCTGCTGGGACTAGAAACCAGGGCTTCAGCAGCCAGGCAGTGGTGGCACACACCTTTAATCCCAGCACTCTGGAAGCAGAGGCAGGTGGATCTCTGCAGGACAACTAGGGATATACAAAGAAACCCTGGCTCAGGGGGGAAAAAAAAGTATTGAAATACACAGGCGTGTTCCTGCTCCCTTCTCATGTTTTATCTCGTGTGTTTAAGCTTGGCTGGAAATACAGTGCTGGCATTTCCAGTGTAGTCGGGCAGATGCGCTGCAGAATGCCCTTCTAATAATGAAAACAGTAAGTTTTCAAGGACTGGCAAGATGTCCCAGCAGGTAAGAGCTTCTACCAGGAACTCACATGGTAGATAGAAACCCAATTTTCACTTGTGTCTTTATGACCTCAATATGTGCACCATACACACAAAGTTAAAAAAAAGAATTCAAGTTACTTAGCCAGTGTTGGTAGCGTGTGAAAAAAAGCTTTATGAATTTATATAGCTGGGGCAGGTAATTGGAGGTAGGGCTCCGCATGCAGTCTCCTAAGAACTACAGAGCAGCTGTCGACTACACTTTCTTTTTCTGTTTTGTTTTGTTTGTTTGTTTGTTTTGGGTTTTTGGGGGGGTTTTTTTCAAGACAGGGTTTCTCTGTAGCTTTGGAGCCTGTCTTGGAGCTACCTCTTGTAGACCAGGTTGGCCTCAAACTCACAGAGATCCACCTGTCTCTGCCTCCTGAGTGCTGGGATTAAAGGTGCGTGCCACCACTGACCGGCTTTTTTTTGTTTTGTTTTATTTTAAAGACTATTTATTATGTATACAGCATTCTGTCTGCATGTGTGCCTACACACCAGAAGAGGCACCAAATCCCATTATAGATTGTTGTGAGCCACCATGTGGTTGCTGGGAATTGAACTCACGACCTCTGGAAGAGCAGCCACCTTTAACCCCAGCACTCAGGAGATAGAGTCTGGCAGGTCTCTTGAGTTTGAGGCCAGCCTGGTCTACAGAGTGAGTTCTAGTCCTTGGAGCTGTTCAAGAAAGTGAGTGGTGTCAGGAGAAACGTATGTTGGATTGGGGTGAATCACTTAAGTTCTCAAGGTCACTAGTTGCTCATCCGGCCTGGTTGTCTTAGATTTCCACTGTAACATTCAGATTTGGTGCTTTCTCTGGGTGCGGATCAAAAAGTGTTCAGTGTTTCTGAATTAGGGGCTCATGGGTCTCAACTCTGGCTCCCCTTGCCTCTACCTCCCAAGGACTAGGAATACAGCTGCTTGCTACCATACCCAGTTTATCCTTCATTTCTGTGAGGTGCCAACAGGTCGGGTTTTTTTTTTAGTATTTATTTATTTATTTATTATGTATACAATATTCTGTCTGTGTGTATGCCTGCAGGCCAGAAGAGGGCACCAGACCTCATTACAGATGGTTGTGGGAATTGAACTCAGGACCTTTGGAAGAGCAGACAATGTTCTTAACCGCTGAGCCATCTCTCCAGCCCTCCAACAGGTCGTTTTCATTGACTTTCCTGTGGATGGGATGGCCAAGCTCCACTGAGGCCAAGTTCCCGGTGACTTTCAGTCTGTGACTCCTGTTAAGAAGGAGAAGCTTCCCCTGTCCTGTGGGTTATTGACCAGCCAATGCCGATGGCTCTCACACACATAGGCTCTCAGGAATGGACCTGGCGCACAGTGGGGAGTCTGTAGTGTAGCTCTTGTGTCAGAGGGGAAAGGCCACTTCCATGCGGCTCATCTGTTAACTTTTACCCATTGTTTACTATAATGTTTTACTAGTTCACTGTTAAATGTCACCATATTTTTAAATTTTCTATACTAATTTACAGGGTTTTTTTTTTTTCAAGTTTCATACATTTACTTAGACTTTAAAAATGATGCCTAGAAAAGGGATTCTAAGATCTCGGGGAAACACAGCACATCATACGCTACAGGAGGAATTCAAGTGCTCAGTAACCTGTAAAACTGGTGATCCTGGCCCAGACAAAAAGTGTAACACACACACACTCACACAGGCTAGGATGTAATTCAGGTTGAGTGTTTGCCTAGCTTTCACAAGTCACAAGGTTCAGGGTTTTTTTTTTTTTTTTTTTTTGCTGAGACAGGGTTTCTTGAGTGCAGCTGCCTGGAATTCCCTCTGGTAGACCAGGCTGACCTTGAACTCATAGAGACCCACCCACCTCTGCCTCTGGAGTGCTGAGTTTAAGTGTGCGCTACCACCACCTAGTTCAAGATCCTGGCATGGTAGCTCACACTTGAAATCCCAGCACTTGTGAGGTAGATGCAGGAGGATCAAGAGTTCAAGATCGGGGCTGGAGAGATGGCTCAACGGTTAAGAGCATTGCCTGTTCTTCCAAAGGTCCTGAGTTCAATTTCCAGCAACCACATAGTCTGGTGCCCTCTTCTGGCCTTCAGGCATACACGTAGACAGAATATTGTATACATAATAAATAAATAAATATTTTTAAAAAAAAAGAGCTCAAGATCATCCCCAACTCCACTGTGAATTTAAGGCCAACCTGGACTATGTGAGACCCTATCCCCTATCCCACTACCCCTAAAAAGTATATATACTACTTGGGTTTCTTTGACATGGGGTCTCACGTAGCTCAGGCTGGCCTCAGGCTCTATATGCAGCTTGGAACTTGAGATCCTCCTGCCTTTGTCTCCCAAATAGGATTTATCATGCCCCGTCACACCTGGAAAGTTTAAGTGCATTCGAACTAGCCTTACTTCAAAATGTATTTATTCGTAGCACCAATCTCTTTTTGTTATTTGAGAATTGGATCTTTGTTTTTGTTTTTTTGTTTTTCTGTTTCTTGAGAAGGAATCTCACTACATAGCCCAGGCTGGCCTGGAAGTCAAGGCAGTTCTCCTGCCTCAGGATCCTCAGTGCTGTGATTGCAGTGTACGCTGCCAACTGCACCGAGGACCTCTTTATTGAACACTGCTAACATCTCAGTGAGGACATTTTTAGAAAATACTGTTCTAACAGCGTCCCTGTGTTCTTCTCTCCTGACTTGTTACTCATTAAAGCTTTTCTGGAAGATTATTGGTGCTCAGTCCTGTCGTCCTGGACTTAGAAGGCTGAGACTGGCTGAGTTGTCTGGGTATAGAAGACACTACCTCAAAAAAAAAAAAAATCAACCAAAAAATTTATTTTCCAAAAAGAGGATGATGAAACTTGTTCTTATTTTATACACACATGCACACACACACACACACACACATATATGACATTTTAAATTCACTTTTGTTATCCCTAGCTAATTTAGAGGAAATCGAAGAAGGAAATTCACTTGACTCATCAATCCAGCAAGTGGTGGGGAGTGGCGGCCAGAGGGTCATCACCATAGTGACTGATGGAGGCCCTCTGGGTAATATCCAAACCTCACTCCCTACTGGAGGCATTGGCCAGCCCTTTATTGTAACTATGCAAGATGGACAGCAAGGTAAGTTATATCTAGTAGACATTTGCTATTTAAAGATATTTTATTTATTTATTTTTGGGTTTTTGAGACAGAGTTTCTCTGTGTAGCTCTGTCTGTCTTGGAACTCAACTGTAGACCAGGCTGGCCTAAAACTCACAGAGATCTGCCTGGGATTAAAGGTGTGAGCCACCACCTTGAGCTGCTCTCAAGGCCTTAATCTGTACCTCAGCCTGGCCTCAAACTCACCATGTAACCTGGGGGACACTAAACTCAGAGCAGTCTCCCCACCTTAGTTTCCTGGGCACTGGAATTATAGGTGTGGGCCACCACCCTCTACTTTATTTATTTATTTAGAAACAGCATCTCTCATAGCATAGCTGGCCTCAAACTCACTTAATAGCCAAAGATGACCTTGAATTCCTGACGCTCTTGCTTCAACTTCCCAAATACTAGGATTATTGGCAAGAGCCATCATTCCAGTTTTGACTTCTCTCCCTCTCTCTTTTTTCCTTTCTCTCTCTCTCTCTCTCTCTCTCTCTCTCTCTCTCTCTCTCTCTCTCTCTCTCTCTCTCTCTCTTTCACAGAGAGAGAGAGAGAGAGAGAGATGTCTTGCTTGCTGTGTATCTTTGGCTAACCTGGGACTCACTATGTAGACTAGGGTGGCACAGACAAAGCTCCCCTTCTGCCTTAGCCTCTTGAGTACTGACATCACAGGCCTGCACCACCATATTTGGCTGAAGGTCTTTGTCTTAAGAACCTGAGGCCTTCGTGGTTTCTGAGCTGTGGTTCTTTCCTTCCTTGGTGCTACTTCTTTCCTGATTTCTTTCTCTGTGACTTTAAGTTACCTTTTGACTTCAAACTCTGTGTTTTGTTGTTTGGGATTTATTTTTTGAGACAGGGCTACAGAGAGCTCTGCTGTTGACCAGGCTGAGCTCGAATTCAGAACTCTGCCTACCTCTACCTCCTGAGCACGGGGACTAAGGACGTGTACCCCCCAGCTAAAGAGTCTAAGCTCTATAAAGAGATATCACAACAATGTACATGAGTGGGGGGATGGATATAACCTGTGATAGAATACTTCTCTGACATACAAGAAGCCATGCCAAAAATAATAATATGAAGTTCACTTTTTTCTAGTAAGGCAAAAAAGCCTCTGTGTGCTGTGTGCTCATGTCTCCCACGGTGTGCTTGGCTTGTAGTTCTAACTGTGCCTGCCGGCCAGGCTGCAGAGGGGACAGTAATTGAAGAGGAAGAAGAGGAAGAAGAGGAGTTGCCATTGGCAAAGAGACCAAGGATGACAGAGACAACTATCAGTATTGAGGAAAGCAAGGTAATGAGATTCTTCTCATAAGAGAGGAGGAGTGGAAGCCCTGGTGATTGGAGGTGAAGCCCTCTTCATCTTTCTGTCTGCCGTCTGAATACTCTGTTGTCAGGAATTCTTACTGTAGTGACACTGTTTGCTCTACAGGAAGGCAGCGAAAGAGAGCTACTGCAGCAGCAGCTCCAGGAGGCCAATCGGAGAGCCCAGGAGTACAGGCACCAGCTTCTCAAGAAAGAGCAGGAGGCAGAACAGTACCGGCTCAAGCTGGAGGCCATGGCGCGACAGCAGCCCAACGGAGTTGAGTTCACCGTGATTGAGGAGGTAGCTGAAGTGGATGCTGTAGTAGTGACAGACGGGGAAATAGAAGAAAGAACAGCAGAAGTGATGAAGTCAGGAAGGACCACAGAGCCTCACACTAGTGTTTCCATAGAAACCATTTCATCTTAACACGCAAAGGCCACAACTTGTACTCATTCCTCTTATTTTTAAGAAGAAAATACAGAGGGCAAGCATTGTGTACAAATTAGGACTGTCTTTAAGAAGGGAACAGTAGCAGGGCTCAGTGCCTGGGCCAGGAAAGCTGTTTGTGCAGCTAGAGACTCAGAGCCACGTTAGGGGCATCTAAGGGACCAAAGGACCAGGATCAAATCTCTCAGCACACGTCATTGCTTTAAACAGAGTACTAAGCATTGCAGGTTGATTTTTTTTTTTTATAAAAAATAATTAACTTTATATCAAAAGATTTTAAGATAATACTTGTAATACATATACACCAAGAGCCTTTAATAATTATTCCTGAGATCTCCAAGTGATCTGAAGTTTGCCTTACTTAGGTTTATGAACTGCTAAGGTTGTAGGAAGACTCTTCGCGAGGATGAAGAAAAGATACCATACATTCCTTCCTTTTCCTTTTTTTTTTTTTTTTTTCTTTTTTGCGGAGAAGTTCAAGATAGGGTTTCTCTGTGTAGCCCTGGCTGTCCTGGAACTCACTCTGTAGACCAGGCTGGCCTCAAACACACAGATCTGCCTGCCTCTGCTTCCCGAGTGCTGGGATTAAAGCCCACCACCGCCCGGCTAAAGCTACCATACATTTCTAAGAAGCAAGCACACGGGCTGCTCCTAGTTAATCCACTGTCCACTGAAAAGGAATCTATGGGCTAGGAACAGTAGTACATACCTGTAATGCCAATGCTCAGGAAACTGAGACAGCCAGTGAGTGTGAGGTCAGCAGGAGCTAGAGAGACTCCTTCGGTGAAAGAGGGCCAGATGTCCTTTTCTGGCCTCTGTGAACACCCTGGCATATACATACAAATAAAAATTAAAAAGTTAAGTAAGTTAGTTGAACGCCAAGGTTCGCCCTTCAGGATCAAGAGACTACCACGAGATTGAAGCCAACTTGAGCTCCGTAGTGAATTACAGTGCAGCCGGGCTACAATGTGGGGCCTTATGCAAGAAAAGAAAATCAAATCATGTAGTGGTGCATGCCTCTTCCAGCACGCAGGTGATAGAGACAGGTGCATCGCTGTGAATTTGAGACCTGCCTAGTCTACAAAGAGAGTTAATGGGATGGCCAGCACTACATACAGAGACCCTGTCTCAAAGGAAAAAGAAAAGAAAAGAAAGCAGAGAAAGCTTGTGATTGCCAATAAATTGTATGTTCATAGCTTAGACGTCAGTTAAAAAAAAAAAAAACAAAAAACAACAAAAAAAAAAACCATTAAACTAGGCATAGTATTGCATGCTTGTAATCCCAGCACTTGTGAGGCTAAGACAGGAGGATCACTGCAAGTTCATGGTCAGCTTTGACTATTGTAAGATTTTTCTTTAAAAAAGAAACAAAATGGCTAGACTTGATGACCCTCATCCCTGTACTCGGAAAGCAGAGGCAGGCAGGTCTTTGGGGTTCTAACTAGCCTGGTCCACGTAGTGAGTTCCCGGTCAGCCTGGGCTACATAGACTCTAACTAACAATAGCAAAAAAAATCTGAGGACATTGCTCAGTGGGACAACATGGTGCCTAGCATGCAAGGAAGTCCTGGGTTCCTCCTTTGGTGCTGTATGTACACAACAAAAACGAGGGGCAGGAAAGCAAAGAGAAAAACAATTAACATCAAACTTTTAATGCCAGAAAAAAATTTTACTTACGTTATGGGGAGTGTGTGTGTAAAGCCTGAGTCCCTCCTGAGACTGGGCAGTCTCAGAATGAGGCTTCTGAGCTATGAAGCTCTGGTCTTGAGATGGAAACTGTATGAACGTTATAAGACTACAATCAGGAGGGTCGTCAGAATACTGCTTCTAAACATCTGTTTATATAAATCAAGTTTGAACTTCTAAATTGTATAAAGTTGGGTTGAATGTTGTATGTCACGTAGGACATTGGTGCTTTCCTGCAGCGCTTATCCTGTGACGAAGGCCAGTGCTGTGCAGGCCTGTTTCTGTTGACTGCTGCTTTTGCTAATGTGGGCCAATAGAATGCTGTGCCTTAAGGTGTGACAAAGGGGGCCTGCCTGGGTCACTGCCACAGAGCAGAGAGCCATACATCCGAGCCCTTGCTGTCTTCCCCTCTCTCTTACTCTGCTCAGACACTTTTGCATAGATTTTCAGTGCTGGGTTGTTGAGGTGGGATTGGGGCAGGTCTCTGTTATTAACATGAAGTGGTTTTTGTTTATATAGCTGGGCGCCATGCTCTTGCCTGGAATCTCAGCATTCAGGAGGCTACAGCAAGAAAGTTGACATGAGTTTGAGGCCAGCCTGAACTACAGTGTGAGAACCTGTCTCAAAACCAAGGCAGCTGAGCATTGTGGCTCATGTGGCTGCTGCAGGAGGTTGCCTGCACTCTGAACATAGTAAGCTCTCTGAGACAGCATGAGCCACAGAGACACCCGTCCATCCCCGTCTCCCCCCGCCCCCTTTCCCCAGACAGGGTTTCTCTATGTAAACCTGGCTATCCTGGAACTTACTCTGTAGACCAGGCTGGCCTTGAACTCACAGAGCTCTTACTGCCTCTGTCTCTCCAGTGCTGGGATCAGAGGTGTGCACCCTAGCTGAGACACCTGTCTTAAAGAGAAAAGAAAGGGCTGAGACTATAGTTCAGGAAGAGCCCTTGCCTGTCATTTTATCAGATCCTAGTTCAATCCTTAGGACTGCAAAAAACAATATTTTTAAAAGTTTAAACAGGATGTGATAGTACATGTCTATAATCTCAGAACTGGCAGAGGGAGGCATGAGGTCAGAGGTTGAGGACCATCCTTGGTTATTTAACAAGTTTGAGGTCAGCTTACCTCCCTCTCCCCCCGTCTCCCCTAAGGGGGAAAGGTACCTGATAGCAGAGGAAAAGGCCATGTAGACTTTTTATTGGAAATTAGAAGAAGCCAGAGGGGCATGTGCCAAGTGCACACCTGAATGACTGTTGAGAATGCAGTTTCCTAATTAATGATCATGAAGAAAATGGGTATTTTTAGCCTGGAAAAAGCTTGACAGTTAACATGGTTCTGTTTACCTTGATTAGTATAATAATTTGTGCAGTGTTCCAGAGGTGTGGATTCATTTTTGGCTCAAACATAATTCTCTAACTCAAAATTAACAAACAGAATGGACTGTTAGAGGTTTATAGGCAAAAATGGCTGTTTTCAAATGACTCTTGGCTGCTGGCACCCTGACTAGGTCTGCTCTGTGTGTCCGAGCATCAGAGACTGTTCTAGTGCCTCAAGAGTGTCTGGAAGCATAGTGGAGGAGTCTGTGTGTCTCTGAGATACCTGGGAATGGGGTGCTAGCAGTAGGTGCTGTGTGTGGCATCTCAGAGCCATGGCTAACTAGAGGGAGCAGGTTTCCATTCAGATGACTCTGTTTACATTCTTGGAGCATATGTTGACTTTAATTCCCTCCCACCTTTTAAGGGGATAGAGAGTGTCTGCAGAGACTGTCCACGCCTAACCACTTCATTACCTTGCTAGTTACTGTGGGGATGGATCTGTCCATCTACTCCTCCCCTCTGAGCAGAGCTTCTACCTTAGGGGGAGCCTGCTTCATTGTTCCAAGTTAATTTTGAACATGAGGTCTCCGTTGTTCATCTCAAAATGGAAGTAGGTTTTGCTTTTCAGTTATATGGTCATGAAGATGAAAGGGTGTGGGAGAAGACTCTTTCAGTTAGTTAAAAATGTAGGTATTGGATAGCCAAGCATGGGGCACATGTGAAATCCCAGCACTGAGAGGCTGACGCAAGAGGCTCAGGAGTTCGAGGCCACACTGGGCTACATGACGGCACTGTCTCAAAAACAAAGATAGGACTGGATAAGAACACGACACACAAGAGTGAAGGCCCAAATTCAGATCCTAGCACCCACTCTAGCAAGTCCTGGTGCCGTAACCCTAACCTGTTAGCAGGCTGAGGACGAAGGGTTACTGGGGTTCAGGTTCAGGGAGCGACCCTGTCTCAAAGGGGCACAGCAGAGTAGTGGAAGAGGGCACCAGGGTTCTCTTGTCCCTCCACGCGCAGGCGCGTACCCCACACGCACAGACAAGGCACTGGGGAGGAGAAAGGAAAATACACGAGGACTGTCTCCTGACTTCATGTAGCCTTCTAGGTCAGACTTTTGTAAGTTTGTTGCTTTTTAAAGACAGGGCCTTACTCTGTAGGTTGACTTCAAACTCAGGGCAATCCTCCTGCCTCAGCCTCTTGAGTGCTGGGACCATAAGTGTGAGCTCCACGTTTGGACTGGGTCAGTTGAGAAGATCTCCCGTGGATCTTTGGGGTGGAGAGGTCCAGCTGATTGCGAAGGCTGGGTATATGAGAATCAGTAGCAGAGGAGCTGTCCGGGCTGCAGCTCAGTGGAATGCCAGCCTAGGGACTCGGCTCCAGGGCAGCTGCTGCGTGAGTGCCAGTGCTCTGCTAATTCAGGGATGTAACCCCACATTTGCATCTGGGTTGTAAGTATTTCCCCCAAAAAAGAAAAAAAAAGAATGTTGCAACTTGTGTTCTTCCTCCTTCAGGGAAATTGATGGCAAATGTGTAAATGTGCCTTCTGCTTCTGTGGGGGCTTGTCATTGTGATGCCAAAGCGGAGCCCTCCTGGCTGCTATGGGAGAAGGGGCCTGGGGGGGGGGTTGCTCCGAACTCTGTGCCTTAAAAGATACTCTGTCAGATGTATATGTTCTTTTGTTTTTTTCCAGACAGAATCTCACTGTGTAGCTCTGACTGGCAAGAAACTTGCTATGTAGTCCAGGATAGCCTCAAATTTAGAGATCCACCTGCCTCTGCCTCCTGAGTGCTGGGATTAAAGGTGCCTGGCAACAGATAGTTTTTATATCCCTTTGCTGGGTGCATGTTAGTATAAATGTATGTAAATGCATAATGATCTTTCCCAGTTTTCTCTTTGCGGTTCAGCTCTAAATTATCTGGGATAACCTGGAAGCTTATTAAATACATAGATAGGGGTTTTAATCCCCTTAATCCACTGGGGAGCAGGGAATAAGATAACAGTGAATAAGAGAAAATATGAGCGTTGAGGCCCAAGGAGCTGGTTCGTGCTCACAAGGGAAGCCAGCGGGTAAGTGCAAAGACACCATGGTCAGTGCACAGCAACCAAAGTGAGCTTCCCTCTGTGGCCGTTTGTCTTCCTCCTGTTGAAGCTGCCTTGACACTTAGAAAAACCCTCAGAAAAAAAAATTTAAAAAAAAAATTACTAAAAAAAAAAAAAGAAAGAAAGAAAGAAAAACCCTCAGAGATGGGTGTGGTGAAGCACATATTTAGCCCCAGGACTCAGGAAGCGGAGGCAGGTGGATCTCTGTAAGTTCCAGGCCAGCTTGGGTTAGATCCTGTCTCAAAAGAAAAGCCTCCAGGCTTCTGGACAGGGAAGAGCCCGGATGAGGGGCTGTGGAACTGAGCTCTGAAGCTCTACTTCCCCAGCTCAGCACCTCACCGTGCGAGAAATAACTTACTCCAAGAAAGGTTGTGTGGCTGTCCCTACGTCAGCCACCTCCAGGGCTAGAAGAGCTGAGGCCCATGGTGAACTCCTGTCAGAGTCTGACAGTGAGCAGGGGTCCCTTTTTGTCCCAGTTCCTGGAGACCAGCTTTCTCTTCTCTCCTCATGCAGATAGACGTTTCTGTCAAGGCCACCAGTATGCACTTTAACTTCTTACCTCCTTTTTATGTTTTGTTTTGCTTCGAGACAGGGTCTCTTTCACCCTAGCCAGGCTGACCTGGAACTCACTGTGCAACCTAGGCTAGCCTCAGACTCACAGCAGTCCGATGCCATGGCCTCTCACACCCTGGCTTACAGATGTGTCACCATGACAGACCGGCTCTAACCCCGTCGGAGTCACGCTCTGTCTCCTTTACTCACAGGAAAGATGTTATATTTAATAGCCTTGGGCCTCTGGTGCTGTCCTTCTGAAGGCTTTAACCTCTCTGGGGCTGGGGGAGGAGGATAGTCCTAAACTCTGCAGTAGTGAGTGATTTGTTACAGTCAGGAAGTTGTGACCCTCTGTGTCTTCTTCCCTGACCCCACCCTCTACTTCTGTTCCTTCCATCCCTTGGCTCTTGTGGTAGGAAGGCTTTGCCCGGCACTGGGACGTAATTAATTAGTCGGTCATCTCTAATCTTCCGGGCTCCTCTTTCTCTCTCCTCCTCCCCACCACGTTTTGCTCTGAGGTGATTTGTTTCTGAGAATTAACTAGGTTATACTTTGTATCTGTGTTCCCGCTTGGTTTCTGGCATCTTGGATGTCAACTGTTACAGTAGCAGCTCCGCTCCCGGCCTCGGCCTCACCCAGTGTGTCCTTCTGCCAAGGCCATTTGGAGGCAGATGCCCAGGAGTCTTCACAGTGTCCTCTTGTTCTTCAAGTTGTCTGGCAGCTTTGTGTACAGTAAAATTGCAGGAAAACTTAAATAAAAGTTTCTTTTTTATTTAGGATAAAATACTTCCATTCTAATGAGCAAGTGTGTGTGTACATGTGTGTGAATGAGCATTTATGTACATATACCTATACAGATCTATATTATATATACGGTTTTGTACTATCATTTAAAATAAAGACATTTCTTAATAAAACATTAAACATTAGTGTTGTTGAAGTCTTTGGCAAAGATTGTCTCTGCTGTCTCTGTTACAATGAAGCAGCCAGACTAAAGTTAAGGTGTGTGCCAGCCCCAGTACCGAGATCTCACCTCGGTGTCTTTATTTTCTTTTGTTTTGAGACAGGCTTTCTCTGTAGCTTTGGAGCCTGGAGCCCATCCTGGAACTTGCTCTGTAGACCAGGCTGGCCATGAACATGAGATCCACCTGCCTCTGCCTCGTGGGTGCTGGGATTACAGGTGTGCACCACCGCCCAGTCGCTCAGTTTCTTTCATGTGTAAGGAGTACCAGGCTGAAGGCGGCTGGGTAAGAAGGGCGGAGGATACGAAGGAGACTAAACATAAACAGTGTTGCTGCCTTCTCGGGACCATCAGCTGTGTCTTGCTAAAGATCATTCCAGCTGGACTTCCTGACAGCTTATGTCCCCTGCACAGAGAGACAGGACCCAGGGTTCTCACCTGATGGCCCCAGCTCCTCACCACCTGTTGTAGCTGCATGTGGCCTTAACTGCATGGCCGAGGGAGGACGTGCTGGACAAAGGCTTTCAGGTGCAGCCTGCTGTGGGAAGAGCAAACCCTTTTAAGTAACCCCTCACTGATTCTCAGAGTGAACTTTGGGGGAGTCCTGCCTCAGTTTGTCGGTTTGTCATCGGGACCTTAAGAAGAAGGGTAGACACCACTTATGTCTCCCTCTGGGAAGGAATTTTAGAAACACACAGTGGAAACTCACATCTGTAATCCCAGCATTCCTACTGTGAGATAGGAATGGAGCCAGGAGAATCCCAGAAAGCTTGGGGGCCTCCTAATCTGGCTACTGCAAACAAGAAGCCCACAATTGAGCTGTGGTGCGCATGCACCCATACTCATGCAAGCATAAACATAGCAAAGTTTTTAAATTTTTATGTGCATTGGCGTTTACCTGTATATGTTGTATGAGGGTGTCAGATCCCCTGGAACTAAACTTACAGACAGCTGTGAGCTGTCATGTAGGTTCTGGGAATCATCTCTCCAGCCCCCATATATAGTGGTGTATTATTTGTGTTTTAATAAATAAAACATGCCTGAAGATCAGAGGGCAAAGCAGCCACACTGGTCAGCCTTACAGACAGTCATAACACACATCTGTAATCCCAGCAGTCACACTAGCTAATTATAGAGGCTGGGCAGTTCATGCCTTTAATTCCACCACTAGAGAGGAATCTAAGACCTGAGGAGACAGCTCTCAGTTAGTCTTCAGTCTGAGGATTCGTGGAGACAGGATCTCGCCCATTTCAGTCTGAGGAAGAGGTAAGAGCCAGTGGCTGGCTGCTTTGCTTTTCTGGTCTTCAGCTTGAACTTCAGTATCTGTCTCTGGGTTTTTATTATTTGTGCTACATTTTATGCCCAACTTTGGGGTACAAATCCATGAAAAAAACGGCATAGACCAGATTTACACACAAATGAGGTCAAAGCCCTACAGGCTAGTTTTTCTTTTCTTTTTTTTTTTTTAATGTTTATTTAACTTTTTATTTTACGTGCATTGGTATGAAGGTGTCAGATCCCCCGTAACTGGATCTTTAGACAGTTGTTAGCTGCCATGTGGGTGCTGGGAATTGAACCCCGGTCCTCTGGAAGAACAGTTAGTGCTTTTAACCACTGAGCCATCTCTCCAGCCCTAGGTTTTTCTTTCTTATCACTAAAAAGAATAGAGAAGAACAGCCTAAGGTTTTCAAATAAACAACCTTAATATATCCAGTAGCCTTTCAGGGATTGCCAAATGATAGAGTAAGAGCTGAATGGACTCCTGTGCCAATGTTAGAGTTAAAGAGATCCAAGGAAGCAATAGTCTCTTAATGGCAAATGTTAAACTTATGGTCAGTTTATAGTAGAATTATAGTAGAATTATGGATAGAGTTGGTTAAAGCTCTTTTAGAGCTTGGTCTACAATTATAATGGAGTACCTCATTTAGAGAATAGGTTAAGACTATTGAACAACAGAGTGAAGCTAGAGGTACAGAAATCTCTAAAGACCAAATTCTTGGAAAAGGACATTAAGCTACTGTTCTGTTCTTCTGTTTTTTTCTGCTTGCTCTTCTTCAGACGCGAAAGGATGCAACACACAACAAAACCCAAGTGGAGCACGAGCTTTGTTGCACCGTGCAGGAGAGAAGGGGAAAAGAGAGCTACAGACGGCTTTCCAGCCTTTTAAAGGGTTCCCCACGCACGTGTGTGCGTCAGACGCCACGTTCTGCACCTGCGCAGCCTTTGCGTGGAACGCTAGGGGCTCCTGGGAAATGTAGTTCCCCAGGCGAGCTACGCTCAGGGGCCTTCTGGGGAATAACAGCTACTATAGAAAGGCAATCTCTATATGATGGTCATATCCTGGCTTTGTGCCATGCAGCAGCTTTAAATGCTTGGGGCAGAACTGAAGAAATAGGAAATAGGATTGAATCATTTACTAAAGTCATACAGGGCCCACAGATTTCTTAAAGGTTGACATCCATAGTAAATAGAATGATAGCAAATTCAGGAGCTAGACAAATAATTGAATCTCTGGCTTTTGAAAATGCTAATTCTTTTATTTATTTATTTATTTATTTATTTATTTATTAAAGATTTCTGTCTCTTCCCCACCGCCGCCTCCCCTTTCCCTCCCCCAATCAAGTCCCCCTCCCTCGTCAGCCCAAAGAGCAATCAGGGTTCCCTGCCCTGTGGGAAGTCCAAGGACCACCCACCTCCATCCAGGTCTAGTAAGGTGAGCATCCAAACTGCCTAGGCTCCCACAAAGCCAATACGTGCAGTGGGATCAAAAACCCATTGCCATTGTTCTTGAGGTCTCAGTAGTCCTCATTGTCCACTATGTTCAGCAAGACCGGTTTTAACCCAGGCATTTTCAGACCCAGGCCAGCTGGCCTTGGTGAGTTCCCGATAGAACATCCCCCTTGTCTCAATGGGTGCACCCCTCGCGGTCCTGAGTTCCTTGCTCGTGCCCTCTCTCCTTCTGCTCCTGATTTGGACCTTGAGATTTCAGTCCGAAAATGCTAATTCTTAATGCAAAAGGATAATTAGGTCGTTAAAGGCCAGGTCAACACCTTTGGAGGAATGGATCTGAGATATAATTAATATTGAATCTCATTACCGTGATAATACTTGGATAGGAGAGGTGATTTCCAGAGGTTTGAAGAAAAACTGAAATGTCAAGTGTTTTAATTGTGGCAAACAATGTCATCTAAAAAGAGACTGTAGACAGGGTGTTCCAATGTTTTTTTTTTTCCTAAGAATAATCCATTCAGAATGCCCCTCTTGTCTGGATTATGCAGAAGGTGAGGCAAAGGTAGGCATTGGACTAATGCATGTAGGTCCAGAAGAGATATCCAAGGTACCCTTTTGCCATTGGGAAACTCCTTGAGGGGCCTCTTGCAGGCCCTTATGCCAAATCCAGTTCAGTCATTTACTGCCATGGTAGAGGAAACTCCTTCCCAGAGCAATTAAAGAGCCTAGTGTGTATTGTAAGAAACCATACTGCTCTGGATAATAGAACAGGTATAGAAGAAAAAAATCAGGAGAAACAATAAAACAAGTACACACATCTATAAATGAACAAAGACCAAAATTAAAGATACGAATAAATGATGTCATTGAAGGTCTGGTAGACACAGGTGCAGATGTATCAATAATTTCATCAGAATCTTGGGATCCGAATTTTTAGGGACCAGAAATTTATCTCAGGCAAAGAAAAACACAAGATGGGTTGAATGTAGGGCCAGGACAGAGAGGGATATTGCAGCACGCCGCTCCCACCAGCAGAAGAGACGACCGCAACAGGATTCTTCTCAGAACACACTTTATTGGAGCACTTACACTTGAGGTTGTAAAGAGGCAAAAGACCCCATCCCCGTGACGCAGAAGAATATATATGGTGCCAGACAAAGCCCTGACGTGTCATCAACCCAATGGCTCAGGCCAGAATGGAGTGATCGTGCCAGATTATGATTGGCCAGATCGGATGGCCATATCGAAAGACTCCCCGCGCTGGGGGGAGCTCACGCGCATGCGCACAAGTTGTCTGTCAAGTTTGAAGTGGAACAGCAAACGGTGCCCAGCCTCCGTGCCCACGACATGAGAGCGCCATGGCGCACGCTACATCTCCGCGTGCTATATCTCCGCGCGCTACAGGATATTAAAACCATATGTGACTAACATAGCAATGAATTTGTGGGGATGTGATTTGTTATAGCAATGGAATACTCAGATTAATACTCCTCCAATCTTAGAAACAAACCATAAATTATTTTTTTCTGGGGAAAATATTACAAGATATTATAAAGAACAGTCACCAACCATTTGGGTTGTATAGGGCACAACAGCTGCTGATCTTCCAAAGGCACCAACAACCAAACCTTTAAAATAGTTGACAGACAAACCTGTATGCATTGCACAATGGCCTTTAACAACAGAAACTAAGGTTTTAGAACAGCTGGTACGGGAGCAACTAAATGCTCATCATATTGACAAATCAACCAGCCCTTGGAATTCTCCTGTATTTGTTGTTAAAATGAAATCTGGAAAATGGAGAATGGTGACAGATCTAAGATCTGTTAATGAGGTGAGTCAGCCAATGGGCTCTCTACAGTCTGGAATTCCTTTGCTTTCTCTATTACCTAAGGGATGGCCTCTTATAGTTACTGACTTAAAAGACTGTTTCTTCACTACACTTTTACAAGAAAAAGACAGAAAATTTTGCCTTCACAGTACCTACTTATAATAATTCTCAGCCTGCTAAGAAACATCAATGGAAGATTCTCCCACAGGGAATGATCAATAGCGCCACCCTGTGCCAGTATTTTGTACAGCAGCCATTGGGAATGATAAGTAAGCAATTTCCTGAGTCTATAGTTTACATGGACAACATTTTGTTATCGGATTCACATGCTGATGCTTTAGAAAATGCTTGAAGAAGTAAAGAAAATTTTGCCTTGCTGGGGATTACAAAGTGCTCCTGAAAAAATACAAAGAGAGATTCTATTAATTATTTAAGTTATAAAATAGGTTTATAAAAAATTAGATTCCAAAAGGTACAAATTAAGAGATATTGATTGCAGACTTCCAAAGACTGCTAGGAGACAGTTCCCATCTATGGCCCACTATTGGGGTAAAATCTGATGAACTAATTAATTTAAGCAAAACTTTAAATGGTGGCAGTGACTTAATCCAAGGAAATTATCAGCTGAAACTGAGAGAGAATTGACTTTGATTAAAGAGAAATTACAGAAGGCACAAGTGGATCGGATCGTGTGGATCCAAATCTTAACTGCATTCTGGTCATAGTACCCTTCAGACATTCCCCTACAGGAAATTTAATGCAGAGGGAAGATATTATCTTAGGATGAGTCTTTTTATCACTTAAAAAGAGTAAAAAATTAAAACTTGTGTGGAAAAGTTCTCTGAGTTAATTCTAAAAGAGAAATTGTCATCAGTTAGCAAGAAATTACAGTATCTTTTAATAATGATGAAATTGACAAATTATGAGCAGAAAGGGAACCCTGGCAAAGAGCTTGTAGTAATTTTGGGGGGAGAGATTAACAACAACTATCCCAAAAGCAAGAGAATTCAACTAAAGAAAACTAGCTGGATCCTTCCTCGCATTGTACAGAAAACACCAATAACTGGATCCCCTACATTCTATACTGGTGCAAATAAATCAGGAAAGGCAGCTTACAAATAAGCTTTAAGTAAAGTAGATCAAAGCCCTATGGTTTTGTCCAAAAGTCAGTATTACATGCTATTCTCATGGTACTAAAGGATTATTTATTTATTTATTTATTTATTTATTTATTTATTTATTGAGACAAGGTATCCTTGTAGCTTTGGAGCCTGACCTGGAACTTGCTTTGTCAACCAGGCTGGCCTCAAACTCACAGAGGTTCACCTGCCTCTGCCTACCTAGTACTGGGATTAAAAGCATGTACCACCACCGCCCGGCAGTACTAAAGGATTTTAAAGAACCTCTCAACATAGTTACCGATTTTCAAATGCAAAAAGAGTTGTTTTGCATATTGAAACTGCTGAATTTATACCAGGTAATATAGAATTGACTTCATTATTTATTCAGTTACAAGATATAATCCAGTATAAGCATCATCCCATCCATATACACAGCACACATACTGTACATACATTTCTACTCTTGTTCAACGTATGCCTAAACAACTCATTTAATAATATAATATAAATTTCTAGTCCTTCAAAATTATTATTACTAACTGTTTAAGACAATAAGGAAATGCAGTTAGTAGTTAATCACCTATTAAAATTGAACTTGTAGTCAAATTAGGTATGTTTTTAAGGTCAAACAAATATA